GCGGCGTCCCTTTTTGGTGTGACTGAAGTGATTAGCATCAATAGGTGGAGGGAATAACAGAGAGTGAGTGACTTCACGGGTGTTTGCTTTGATTTCTTTGTTTTGGAGCCTACCATCCAGGACCTGACCGTACCCACCGGTAAGCCTAGTTGGATTTATTTTGTGAATTTTCTTTTGTTCAGATACAGGTATTTTTATTCTTTGTAATAAATTATTATTGTCTTGAAACTTGTCTCTCGCTCATTGCAAAACCGGACCTGCGTCCCTTTATTAATTCCTGGGTGAAAACCCCAGGTGGCGTTGTTGGCAACACTCAAAATTGTATAGTCCAAACCCCTGAATGCCACANTCAGCCTAAAACCGCCAGTCAGGGGATCACTACCTCAGTTGCCAGGTCCATCAGGCATTGTTACTCATGGGGGAGTAGCATCTTCTGGTCATTCACCTGGTCCTTCTAGGGCTGAAAGTGAACCAGTTTTGCGGCGGTCAGCAAGGACAACTGCAGGCCAGCATTCTAATATTAACCGTCTTCCCAGACCAGCAGGTGAAGCTCCACAGGCTGTAAACTCTCCTGATCCTACAGCCAACTCTATTTTTGTCCTATTTAGACCATGGAATTGAGTCGTCGGGACGACGACACAAAAGGGGGGGTAGAATGTGGCAGGAAGAGGTATAGGCTGCACCTGCTGGCGGGGTGATTGCAAGTGGGCCAATAGCGCCAGAGGGCGCTCAGTATAAAAGTAGAGGTGAGCTCCAGTCTGACGTTGTTTGCTGTTGACACACCGCGCTTCCGGGTTGAGCTGTCTGTGCGCCGAGTACAGGTGAGGTTGGCTACCTGCGTATTTACAGCTGCTTATACATTGTAGTCATGTAGAGCCTTTTATCAGCAGAAACGGACGGGCGTATTTACCTCTACGTTGATCGTGGGTGAGGTGGTTCCTTCAAAAAGTGCCAACATTGAGCGTTCCCATTTGGGTGCAAGTGTGGAGAGCTTGGCCTAATTGGTAGGTGGAATGAGTGACAAATCTTGTTTTTTATTCTTTTATTTCAAACTGTTTTATTATTTAGGAATTTCGACTGGTTGCCACACATAACGCTGCTGCTTTGCCTGCACCAAGTCACCGCTTACTTAGTGGTTGCAAGAGAGAGACCGGCTGCCTGGGACACGCCCCCCCCCTTCCGGAATCGAAACAAGGAGCGGCTGATCGCATTCATTTCGGATTGGATTGGACTGGGTTGCTCATTTTGCTGTGCCGTCGAACATAGGGATTTTATGGGTTTATTTTGACATTTTTATTTCTTTTATTGCCTGTATTTTTAACAAATTGTCTTTTCTTTTTTTATTTTCTAGACCACCGGTGGTGCGCTCGGGCCTGGATGTGGCGTCCCTTTTTGGTGTGACTGTGTAGTGATCAATATCAATAGGTGGAGGGAATTACAAGGAGTGAGTGACTTCACGGGTGTTTGTTTTGATTTCTTTGCTTTGGAGCCTACCATCCAGGACCTGGCTGTATCCACCGGTAAGCCTAGTCGGATTTGTTATGTGAATTTTCTTTTTGTTCAGATACAGGTATTTTTATTCTCTGTCATAATA